TTAAATTTTTCTTTAATCTCACATGTATATACGTAAATCTACTAAGGTTGTTAATAAGATCTAGAATTTCTTTGTATTCATACTTGTTGTATATCTGTCTATATACATAATTTCATAGTTTTATAACTTAAATATTTAAAAGTTTTATGTATACAGAACTGTTTTCTTTCCTAATTAAAGAAATTTAGAGGCAAGTCTGAACAGTTGAAATACCGAGATGTTACAATACTTCTTCAAATAACGTCAAGCCAAAGAAAAATTTATCTTTTTATTTCCGACAGAAACTTGGATGAACGCGGCTCCTCCAATTCGCCTTTACCTTCGTATTCACACAGACGTCTTCCCCCCGTTGCCTTCATCGGAAATGCAAACATGGCTGTAATGTATTAGCATGGGCGCTCGTCAAGCACATCATCCTTTTCAGGTGGCTTTGTCTAAGGAATTCTTCCAAGTAAAAATCGTCGTCCAAACATCTTGGAAATACATGAATATGAATAACATACACACATCCATCCTTCCTTCCTCCTTCCCTCCCTTCGAGAGGAAAAGGGGTTAAGGGAATAGGGTGATTAGCTCAAGAGTATCACTGTATGAGGAAAATTGCAAAAGAGCCTTTATGAAACAGTCAACAGGTAGTGGGGTGAGGGAACAGGGGAAGCTGCTGAAGCATCAGGAAGGATGTCAGGAGGAGAAGGATCCGGAGAAGGGTGGGAGTAGTAAGGATAATGGGGAAGAGGGAATGGCGGGGCACGTGGAGAAGAAGATAGGTGTTTGGGGGAGAGTGGGAGGAGGAGGGATAGAGGGAACTTGAGGAGGGATATTGGCAAATGCTTTGAATGTGGAGAGAACAGGGATAGAGAGACTGGAGGTGGATGAGGAGCGGAGTGTTCTCTTGGGTCATGGTTAGGAAGTTTTGGATGTCTTCAAGAGTTTCTGCGAGGAGATGGGTGGGGAGGTCTGAGAAACAAAGGTTTTCTTGTGAGAAGAGGGGATACATGTCTGAGAAGCAGAGGAAGAGGTGGGTGTAGGACAGGATGTGGTAGAAGGTGGGGTGAAACGTTTAGATTGTCTAGTGCGATGGGTAGAGTGAGGAGGAGGTGTTGGCATCGGGGAAGTGGTAGAGATTGGAGTATCTGGATTTAGACTGGAAACCAAATTTGACTGGGGGAGAGAGGGAGTAGAGGTAAGATGGTTTGGGTAGAGGGAAGAGATGCTGGCTCAGATACTGAGACATCTTGAGATGGGAGGGGAGCGGAACGAAGGAGAGCTTTGGAATAGGTAGAGAGAGAAAAACCTTGCCTGCGTGTTTCCTGTCTGGCCTCAGGTAGAGTGAGGCCCAGTTTAAATCTGAGAACTACCAGAGATTCAAGCTTGTAGGCAGGGTAGCTAAAAAATACATTACGGGAGCCACTGCAATTGGCACATGTGCGTGACTGAGCAGAACAAATTGAACAGTCATGACCAGGTTGGGCACATAGAGGGCAGCGGACTGTAGAGCGACAGTGTTTGTCATGGTAGCCAAAACGCCGACATTTCAGACATTGACGGGGGAGGAGTCGATATAGTCGGACAGGGCATGGCACCACCAATTTAAACTTCAAGGGGAAGCTAGGTTGGGTAGGAATAGGTTTACCAATGAGGTTAGTCTGGGTAGACAGCGCACGATCTTTGGACTCAGATATAACAAAAACAAGGGGTAAACGATCGGAACGATTGTGTTTGGAGACGTTGTTGGAAGAGAAGGGTACTGTTAGGGTAAGGGGTAGTAGAGGGGAATCACAAAGAATCGACCCCACTTGACTGGGCCAAAAAGAGTACTCAAAAGGTTTCCAGAGACGGAAGCAGTAGAAGGACGAGAGTGGGAGGAAGGTGGAGATGTGCAGGAATAAGGGGGTAGACAATGAAGACTGCAGTAGGGGATGGAGTGGAGGATGTTGGGAGAGAGGAAGGGGTGCATTCTGAAGGTTGAGTAATGACCTGGTGGATGATTCAGAATGATCAGAGTTGACAGAAAACATCGAGGAGAGGGTGTTAGTATCCGTGGTCGGAGCCGTGGACACAGGAGAGGCAGGACTGGGAAACCAGAGAATTCAAATTTACATAAGCTAGTTTATGAAGGAGCAAGCCTTAATGACCCTAATAAGAGTAAAAAATCTTCATTATTGAAGAAACGGTTAACTCCTCACGGTCCCCATGCGGGGGCTAGGCGATTAACCATGGCTCCCGGAGGCCGTTCAGGACTGGCACAAAACCAGCCCTTCATCCTTTCAACTTCACGGCTCTCACACCTTAGGAGGTGGACAGAAGAAGGGGATGAAGAAGAGAAGAAAAGGGAAAGGGGAAGAAGAAAAGACCCTGAGGCGAGGGCGAGGTCCAAGGCCGGGGTGATCCCTACACTGAGCCTCAGTCTCCGTCCCCCACGACAACGAGCAAGGGATTGTGGGGGCAAGTGGGTTCTAGTTATCCCGCGGGAAGCCTAAGGGGTGTGACAACCCCCACACGCGGGGATAAGCGCGGACAAGCGAAGTAACTTTCGGGTGAATGAATATGTAGGTGGTCATGTCCTAACATAGATACAGACGAACTACGACCATCTGTAGTTTATTACTCTATTAAATTACTATGGAGCTTTTATCTTCACTCTTTGTACATACGTCAAGTGTTCGTGTTCACCATCCTTGTCTGTCAGAGAATGAGGGATTTCAAAATAGTAAATTCTTGTGCGTATTGCGTATATAAAAATCGATAAAATAATAAATATAGATAATGAATAAGAACACAATTTGGAAAGAAGCAGGAACCAAGGGCGCCATTCTTTATAATCATAAATATAGATTTCGATAAATGTTTCGATAAATTCATTGCACTGAACACATTACGATGGGAAAATATTACAGAATAGTGATTACTTGCCTTTGTGTTGTTTTACTGGAGAGAGAGGGAGGGAGGGAGGGAGGGAGGGAGGGAGAGGGAGGGGGAGGGAGAGGGAGGGAGAGGGAGGGAGAGGGAGAGGGAGAGGGAGGGGGAGAGAGAGAGAAGGAGGGGGAGGGGGAGAGGGAGAGGGAGGGGGAGAGAGAGAGAAGGAGGGGGAGGGGGAGAGGGAGAGGGAGAGAGAGAGAGAGAGGGAGGGAGATGGAGAGAGAGAGAGAGAGGGAGGGAGATGGAGAGAGAGAGAGAGGGAGGGAGAGGGAGAGGGAGGGAGAGGGAGGGAGAGGGAGAGAGAGAGAGAGAGGGAGGGAGATGGAGAGAGAGAGGAGAGGGAGAGGGAGAGGGAGAGGAGAGGGAGGAGAGAGGGAGGGAGAGGGAGGGAGAGAGAGAGAGAGAGAGAGAGAGAGAGAGAGAGAGAGAGAGAGAGAGAGAGAGAGAGAGAGAGAGAGAGAGAGGGAGAGAGAGAGAGAGAGAGAGAGAGAGAGAGAGAGAAGGGGGGGGGGGGCGAGCGAGCGAGAGAGGCGGGCAGGTAGGCAGAGTGCGAGAAAGGAGGGAATGCTGTCGACGACTCGCCATAAATATTCCTCGTCCATTTGGTCTTCCGTTTTTCCCATTAGAGACGAGGGTTATTTGTTTTTACAGGTGAATGCATAAAAGACACATCCCTGGTAGTAATAAAAACGTTTGTCACATGAGTGTTCTGTTTGGCCGTTTCCATCACTTGACTATATATGTGCATATATTCTTAGAAGACTATATTTTTTTGTATTTCATCACCTCTATTACCTTTGGAATACTATAATTCCTTTAAAAAATTAATACCATTTATTAATTTTTCAGTGACTTAAGAGTGGAATATTTGCCTCGCATGATTCAAAAGCACCTGATTCGTTACTCGTTTTCCTTCGTAGACAGGAAGACGAACGAGGGTTTCCTCTTCCAAGTACTCCCTTTGCCCACAAGCGGCTCCTCTTATCCCTTTGCCCCCCCCCCCCCCCCACACACACACAGCCCCACGCGCTTCTCTCGGCCCCGCCACCCGTGGACAATGCTTAGGCTTCGTAACCATTCGTAGGCGCGTGGGCGGTAATGCGACTCTCCCAGCGGAATAAATGTCCCTAGAATTTTCATATTACTCTTTTTTCCTTCATATTATACTGTAGTGAATAGGGGAATAAAGAATAGTGTGTTTGGCAGACTTGGTAATTCTGAAGTCGTGTAATATATGGGGTTTATCTGCATGAAAATTATGATGTCTGTCGCTTTCTTCTTCACACGAACTGAAGCAAAGACCGAAGTACAGTAAATTGAGAGTAAGTTGCTTTGTAGACTTTATTATCTTAAAGACGGCGTTGGAGAAAAGAAATCAGTAAATCATCCCGGTGCGATTTACTGGGGTGGAAATGATAATACTTTACGACTGGGCTAGATAAGATACCTGGGAGACGACCTTCATTCTTAAACCGAGCCCTTCACTGAACAAACACGGGACTTGGCGCGTTCGGCTAGCTGCGTTTAGATTCGATAGTAATTGGTTACAAAAGTGTACGATTCTATGTATAGTAAACGTTAGGTGCCGAATATATGAGAATTCTTAGTTTTGTTGTCAGATGTGAGTTCAAGTAGCCTAATTATACATGAAGTGGGTGTGTTTGCGCAAATTTTATCGCCGAGTTGCCACAGGTTAATATCAAACCTTTTCATCAGAAATGTTATGCTATTTCTAACAATGTCGGAATTCCCATGCGCAGGCCATGCGAGAACATGTTAGAAGATAGCGATAAGAATGATGTTACGAGTGTCCAAGAGAGAGAGAGAGAGAGAGAGTGAGAATAACCTTCAGATACGACATTAGTTCCATAGTTGTGTGTGCGGAGGGAGGAGCGAGGGGCTAAGCGTCTGTGTCTGTGAATCAAAAAAATAATAAAGAAAAGTGCACAGTGTGTTCGTATGCGTTCGCCGACATGGGATCGTTCATGAGCTCTGTGGTGCGTTCGGATTTGCGGGAGAGCCAGGAACGACAAGTAACAGCTATGAAATCGGACATGGTGAGTAACCCTTCTCGCCGTGGG